CCAAAAAGGGCCCGGGCTGATTTTATCCCCAAAAATGTCCTCCCCCTTCCCCCTCCCCTGAGCGGTGGGTGGGTGCCCTAAACTAGAATAAGGGGGGGGGACCTAATGTCCTCCCCCTGACCCCCACCCCTGAGCGGTGGGTGGGGGCCCTAAATACAAATTGGGGTGGGACCTAATGTCCTCCCCCTTGGTCCCCACCCCTGAGCGGTGGGTAGGGGCCCTAAATACAAATTTAACCCCCCTCCCCAGGTTACTAGGGGTCCCCAAACCCCTAGTCACCCCCTCCAAAAAAATAAACTCCTACCTACCCCCCTCACCCTAAAAATAATGAGGGGGGGACCTTTAACCAAGTACCTGTAAAAATAAACTTACCATTTGATGTTTTCTTTCTTCTAAAATCTTCTTTTTTCAGCCCCAATAAAGGCCTAATAAAAATCCATAATAACCAACGCAATTTAAAAAAAAAAAAACCTGAGCGCATAAAACCTCCTTCTGGGCATTAAATGCCTCCTCTACTACGGGAGTCCATTTTATCATAACAGGGCATTTTGCCTTTGTTAGCTCTGTTAAAGGGTTTGCGATCATAGCAAAGTTAAGTATGAATCTACGGTAGTAGTCCACTAAGCCAAAAAATGCCCTGACTTGTTTCTTCATCAAAGGATGTTGCCAATCCCAAATAGGATCTACCTAACTTTTCTGTGGTTTATGGAGACCTCTCCCAATAGTGTAGCTCAAATACTTAGCCTCTTCCAAACCTATAGTACATTTGGCTAGATTGGCCATTAGACTTGCATCTCGGATTGACTTTATCACTGCCTGAACTCAGAGAAGGTGTGTGTTTCCCAATCTGTGATGTGTATAACAACATTGTCAAGGTAGGCAGCCACCTATTCACTATAGGGTCTAAGGATTCTATCCATCATTCTTTGAAAGGTAGCATGAGCACCATGCAACCCAAAGGGTAATACTTTATAGTGAAATAAACCTTCTGGAGTAGAAAACAGCATTATTGTTTCCTGTATTGTTTACTGTATCATTTTAGTGGAGTGGCATTAAGTTAGGAGAGACCTATGAACTGAGAACACCAACTATACAAGTAAACATCCAAACACTACCAGCACCAGTCCATGTAGCATTTTGCTCTAAGTGTGCTAAAAAATATTCCTATACAAAAGTCAAGGTATAATCAATGAGTCTTCAAATTCTTACACTATTCCTATTGAACTGTTTCTGTAAAGCAACTAAAATGCTTTGTTTTCACTTATCCAAATGTTGATTAAATGAGAATGCCAAGTTACTGACATTATTTGCCCCATGCATTATTGTTTCCTGTGTCATTTTAGTGAAGTGGAGTGGCATTAAGAACTATGGACTGAGAACACAAACTATACGAGTAAACATCCAGACACTAGCAGCACCAGTCCATGTAGCACTTTCCTCTAGGTGTGCTGAATAATTTTTCTATACAAAAGTATGGGTATAATAAGGGAGTCTTCACATTCTTCAATATTCCTATTGAACTCTTTCTGTAAAGCAACTAAAATGCTTTGTTTTCACTTATCCAAATGTTGATTAAATGAGAATGCCAAGTTACTGACATTATTTGCCCCAAGGGTCCGATTACCTATTAGGCAGTGTAGGCACCTGCCTTCAGCCATTTGACCACAGGGTGCATGTGTTCAGCACTTTAATGTGCTTTGGTGAACTTAAATAGACTGGTGGGGAAAGATAAGTACTGGGAACCTTGCGCAGTGTCCTCTGTAATCTAGTTATCCATGGCTGGTGCTAAGCAAACTAAGCAACCCCATAGCCACCTAGGGAGCACAGCCGCCTAGGGAGCAGTCAGTGACGGAATGACTGGTTGTGGCTGAGGTCCCCTTTGTTCCACCTTTGTTCCACCATGAGTTGGTCAGTTAGTCATTGGCTGACCTGGGTCCCCAGGAAGCAGGCGGCTGGTTGTTAAAGCAGAGTAGGCATCTGCTTACCTGAATGGAGGTGCCTACTTTGCTGAAATATAGTGTGTCCAGGAAGGATTGAGAACAGGCAGCGAGGGAGCACTGATTCCTCACATGCCCTCTGTCTGGGGCCAGAATATGATGTCACTCTGGCCCCAACATCACTAAACAGAATGTGTAGGAACAGTGAGGACGGACAAGAAGAATCAAGCAGCCCCACACTAGACCCCAGGGAGAAGACCCACTGGACCCCAGTAAGAGGAGTCATGCCAGTTCTCCCAAAGATTGGGAAGCTAGGTGGGCCTAAATAAAAAAAATTGTAATTTAAGAGTGTGGGAAAGTGAGTGTGTGTGTGTGGGCCAATACGTTTTTCACTGAGAGTGTGCATCTGTCAGTGTGTGCATGGGTGTCAATCAAAAGGTAAGCACCATCTAGTGGCTGTCATGAAGATAGTTACTAGAAGTGTCTTTAGCCCTGCAATATAAATATTGCTGTATATCAGAAAACGGGGCCAATGCACCCAGACTACTTCATTGGCATGAAATGGTGGCTATAGAAGGTAGATTAATTGTATCGTATAGTGGGAGTGGTAGGTGGTTGTTATGATTGTAACTTTAGGAGGTGGGACTTTTTGGTGACAATTTGTCCATGAACCCAGGCAGCACAATATCGTGGACAAGGCATTTTATGTTCCAGGGATGAATTCTTGTTCGCCAGGAGTATTGTAAATGAAAAGCATTCTTCTTGAATGTTGTAGAGAGAGCAATAAAACGTTGTTTAAAGTTGAGGTTTATAAAGTAGTTGTTCATATTAGTAGATAATAGCAAAAAGTATCATTAGTGATATATACTAAACTGTGCAGCAAGAGCAAAATACCAGAATATTCAAGGTATGTACACATAATTGTTAATTTTCTTGAGATGTTTTATTATAATTCATTATATTTAACTAGTAGATTTACCTGAACCTGCTTAAAAGTAACATTTTAAAGTTTTGGGGTATTTGGAATAGCTACAGTGGTTTTTGCTAATAAATGAAAATAAACCTGGCCACTATGCTAAAAATATATTCTCCAAAGCATTCAGTTTTAAAATTGAGTTAAGAGGTGCTTTGACAGATAGAATTGAGATAAATATATGTTACTGTTGAGCTCTCACCACAACTGTTGAATGTAAGTGGATAGTGGACAGCAGGCAATCCATTCTTGGAACATAATAAACCAGAAGAAATGATATGTTGAAAGTGATCCATATGTCGCTATTTTTTCTAAATCCATGTTTTATTTCTTTGAAATTTTCCAGGTGAATAGAAGCATCATAATTAGAATCTGTACAATTTATATATTTGTTTACCAACCATTTCCAACTTTTTTTTGTTTTAGTTTTTTGTGTAATTTTGACATTAGTTACATAATGCATGTTGTAAAACAGATAAATTTCAAAGCAAGTATAATACGCAATAACATTTTACTTTATCGTACTTTAAAAAAACACTGTTACCCCCCCATCCATTAGGGCTGACACCAGAAATGTTGGGGCCCCTGACAAAGCACAAGGTCTGCTCGCCCCCCGCTCCTCCTCCCTGGCCCGCCCACCCCCGCTATTCCCCACCCCTCCAGGCACGCCCATGAGTCCACCCACAGGACTCCTACCTAGTCCGCTGACAATGATGCAGGACTGAATGTGGTGTGTCTAGTGGAAGTGAATTAGAATGTGTGTAATGGATGTAGTGTTTGTGTGTATTAGATACTGTTTGTATAGTGAATGCAGAGTGTGTTTAAGTAGTGGATGTAGTGTGTGTTTGTGTAGTGGATGTAGTGTTTGTGTGTACTAGATGCAATGTGTTTAGTGGATGCAGTGTCTGTAGTGGATATAGTGTGTGTATTAGACGCAGTGTCTCTGTATAGTGAATGCAGAGTGTTTGAATGTGTGGTGGATGTAGTGTGGGTACTGTGAATACAGGATGTTTGTGTATTGGATGCTGTGTGTATAGTTAATGCAGAGTGTGTGTTAGTGTAGTAAATGCAGAGTGTGTGTTAGTGTAATGAATGCAGAGTGTGTGTTAGTGTAGTGAATGCAGAGTGTGTGTGTTTTACTAGTGTATGCATGTTGTGTAAATTGAGCATTTTCCCCACTCCCACATTAAATGTAAAAAAAAGCTATTCCCCCCTCCCTGCTTCTTACCTGGTTCAGGGAGGGGGTTGAGATTCCATCCCTGGCGGCATTGTGGGGCCCCCTGGCTCCCTATACTTGCAGGGGGGGCCCAGCAGACTGCAACTGTATGCATGTTACAGATCTTCCCTATCTCTAAATCCCACGGGTCTCGCGGGAGTTTGAGAGTGTAAAGAGCTGTAACATACAGCTGCAGTCTGCTGGGCCCCCCCCTGCAAGTACAGGAAGCCGGGGGCCTGCGCCTGCACATATATATAGCGATCATCACTATATATATGTGCAGAGAGAGAATGTCCAAAGCAGTCCGGACCCCCCAGGACCGCCAGGCCCGTGACAACCGTCATGGTTGTCACCCCCTGATGGCGGCCCTGTCACCAACCTAAATACGTATTTGACTATTTAAGTGTCACAAAGATTAAATATTTTGTTTTTCAGTTTAACTCATGGATGGCATTGTTTCTTTTGATCACTGAAAACAATCTCTTAGATTGCCAGGTGAGCCCAATTTAAGGAAAAACTACTAAAGGAGGATGTTCCACATTATTAAGCAGAGCACCATTTTCATGCAATATGGGGAAGAGAAATGATCTCTCTGCTGCCGAAAAGAGTAAAATAATTCAATACCTTGGGTGAGGTATGAAAACATTAGATATTTCACAAAAATGTAAGCGTGATCATTGCACTATTAAGAGATTTGTGGCTGATTCAGAGCACAGACGGGTTTGTGCAGATAAAGGCACATAGAGGAAGATTTCTGCCAGATCCATGCATCGGTTCAAGAGAGCAGCTGCTAAAATACCATAACATAGCAGCAAACAGATATTTGAAGCTGCTGGTGCCTCTGGAGTCCCCACGGACATCAAGGTGTAGAGTCCTCCAGAGTCTTGCAACTGTGCATAAACCTTCTATTCGGCCACCACTAACCAATGCTCACAAGCAGAAACGGCTGCATTGGGCAGAAAAATACATGAAGACTAATTTTCAAACAGTCCTGTTCACTGATGAGTGCCGTGCAACCCTGGATGGTCCAGATGGATGGAGTAGTGGATGGTTGGTGGACGGCCACCCTGTTCCAACAAGGCTGCGATGTCAGCAAGGTGGTGGTGGAGTCATGTTTTGGGCCGGAATCATGGGAAGAGAGCTGGTCGGCCCCTTTAGGGTCGCCGAAGGTGTAAAGATGACCTCTGCAAAGTATGTGGAGTTTCTGACCGACCAGTTTCTTCCCTGGTACGGAAGGAAGAACTATGCTTTCCATAATAAAGTCATCTTCAGGCATGACAATGCACCATCTCATGCTGCAAAGAATACTTCTGCATCAATGGCTGATATGGGGATAAAAGGAGAGAAAGTCATGGTGTGGCCTCCATCCTCCCCTGACCTCAATCCTATTGAGAACCTTTGGAGTATCCTCAAGAAGAGGGTCATGGCTACATAAAATGCATCCAAACATTCAGTATCTTCACCCTCTGCATGCAGACACTGAACTTTCCTCATAGAGATTAATTGATTAAATTAATCTCTATGAGGAGATGCTGATTGGCCAGGGCTGTGTTTGATGGGGTATAAAACACAGTAGAAATGTATTTGCATGGGACTGAGGGTAGTGTTATAGAAGGAGATAGCCAGAGAAAGACAAGAGAAGGTAGGGATGGATGAAAGTTGGAAATGGACAACTGACAGTTACTGGAGGTCAAGAGAATACAGATTTATATTGAGTTGAGAATGTTGGGGGAGGGGGCATTTAAGAAAGAGTGTTAAAAGGATTAGAGACTGTGAATGCATCTAAAAAAAAGATTGAGGGTGATGCCAGCTGTAGGTGTGATAGAATTAGCCTACTGGGACTCTCTGAGGGAAGAAATAATTGAAAGCAGCTTTGAGGCTACTTAGGTCAAGGGTGAGTTTTATAGAATGTTGAAGTTTCCAAGAATTAGAGATGGAATATTATTTTCAAAGGGAGTATGGAACCGAGGTAGTAAAATATTCCAGAAATACTACCTCAGCATATGGCTCTGGCTGTAACACTTGAAGACTTGCTGTTTGGGGCACTGGCTGTAAGAGAGATTCTGGGGTTAGATAAAACACCAATTGTGTTTGGAGAGGCTTGCAGATATTGACGTGAGAAAAATCTATCAAGGAAGAAAGCAGAGGAAAGACATTTGAGATGTAAGGGATGTTAAACATAATGTAAACAGTAATGCTATAGTGAAGGGATGTAAAGAGGAATACAAATGAAAAATATTAATAGATGGATTAAATAAGACAAGTATTATTGAGTAGATCTTCAAGAAATGCTACATCTGCATATGGCTTTGGCTAATTCGTGAATGACAATAATATAAATGTTTTCACTGTGTGGCCATAAAATGTAGACCAAGGAGAACTAGTGGGCTAAATAGGACATCTGTTCCTTGAGTGACACAGACATCTCTTCTCTGTTAATTCTCACTTGTTCATTTATATCAGACAGAGGGAACTGAAATGTGCTTTCCTAGAACCATCTGTCTTTAATGCAGTTCTCTGAGAGGAAGCATGGAAGAAAAATGAGTGTCGCCAAAAACAATTGCATCCATCATGACTCTTACAATGTCAGCACATAGACTGATAACTAAAAGTCTTACTTTATACTCCACTTCAAAGAGCGGTGTCCTCTCTGGCAATCAAATGTACCTAAATGTATGAGGTATGCCGTAGTATATTATTTACTAAAATATACATATTAGATGCATCTTTCAATAAACACATTTTTTTTTCCTTAACAGTGCACAGCAGAGAAAATGTATCCTATATCTGGCATCCTGTATCATATTTCACAGTAGAGTACATTAAAGAGAAACATATTGTTCTGAATTTGAGAGCCTTGCAAATTTACTACGTGACCCCACCAGTATTAATGCTGTTGAAGCCAGGCAAGTTGTTTTAACGTTTGACATGAAAAAGCTTGTGGTGAAATTTCTGCTAAGGACAGAATAGTCTGAGCTGTCAGGATGTCAGTTTCCCGTCTGCAATCTCATATTTTATTCCATGCTGTGCAGCTTTCTTAAATTGCTCTGTATCCAACTCCATCTACTGTGCAAGTGGCTATTCAGTTTGCTTTCACACCATAAGACAGAAAAATGAGCATCCATAATGAACTGTATACAAATTGGATAACCTGACTGTAAAATTGGAAGATTTTATTGGGTAAACTATTTACACACACTATTAGAATTGTGCATGTATATTTTTCTGTCTGTCCATCTATTTCTCTATCTGTAACAAGATTTTTCAGTTGGATTGCACCTTCTATCCATCATCAGCCAAAGGTGCCCAGTTTACCAATATTTGGTAATAAATAGATATATTATTTGCATATAATTTTCCACTAAAACATTTGCAGAGCTTAATGAAGGACTAATTATTTATTTTGAAGTTAAAGAAGTAGTCGACCTTGTTGTTATTTTTATATTTTCATTATTTGAGGTGAGAAATGGGTTGCAAGCTTGTGTCTGATGCAATTTATGGGAACCACACGTTTTATTGAATAGGGTTATTCATGGTCTGTATTTGGAAGATAGTCAGACCAGTACTTTCAATCAGCTCACTGAAGAATTAGATTCTTTCCACAAAAAAGGTTTGTCTCAGTTTAGAAACATATCAGGTGCATTGAAGGTTATATTTGTATTGAAATGATAATGCTGATTTTACTTAGGCAATACAGAAAGCTAATTTCATTAAAGTACAAGACTAATCTTTTAAATGTGGCACTACATGTCTAACTCAGGGACGGAACTAGCAGTACTTCAGCTGATGTGAGTAAACCAGGGCTCTGATGGCTCAAGAAAAAAAGTGCACACAGCAGGAGCAAAGCTAGACTCGGAGTGAGGGTGTTTCAAGTGTATATATGTGTGTTGTGTGTATATTGGTCAGTTTATGTGCATTTGTGTATATGTGCATATGTGTGTCAATCTGTGTTTGTCAGTGTTTACTTCTTAGATTGTATACTTGTGCTTATGTGTATGTGTCTATGTGCCTCTCTGTGTGGCAGTGTATGCGTGTGTATATTTGTGTGGCAATGTGCATCTGTATGTGTGTAAGGCAATGTATGTGTATATGTGAACATGCATCTGCTTGTAAACCCCAACATCACTCACAAATACACCTCTGTATTCCAACACTGACACTACACACAAATACACCCCTGCATGCAAACACTGACAATACACACAAATACATTCCTGCATTCAAGCACTAAAAGACTACACACAAACACACATCTGCATTTAAACACTGACATTAAACAGAAAGATATCCCTGCATGCAAACATCAACACTCTACATAAAAACAGTCTTGTGGGCAAACACTACACACTCCTGCATTCAAATACTAACACTACAAGTAAGTACATCCCTGTATTCTAATATCAGCTATATAGACAAATACACAAACATTTGCAAACACACCTTCCCTACAAGAACACACATAAATTCACACACACAGGCACTGCACAAATACAACCCTGCAAGGATGGTCAAATTGTAGATCTAGATCTGACAAAGCATAATCAGAGTTGTATGACCATTGAGATCTACCGCTCCATCCCTGTTTTATAGGGAGTTTCCAAAAATGTTTACATTAATTCCAACATTGGTCTACATTTACATATAGTGGGAGTAGATATTCATACCTATGCCTATATTTGGTGCCATGGAGTCATGGGATAAGGACAATAACTTTTTTTTTTTACTTCAGCTTACTTTTATGGTATAATGCTACTGTAAATAAAATACACAACGTGGACATGAAGGGAGGGCTTTAAACAGATTTTCTATAGTTATTTGAATGTGTTAGACTCCCAATATATTTATTGTTATATTATGTGAACTGAGTTTATCCATGATAATTTGTTTCATTAGGTCTATGCTGTGTGTTTTCAAGGTGAATACGTAGGGACTAGTTTTCTTAATGTTTACAGTTTCACAGTTTTGTCTTTCTTTAAAACCTGGAAACAGAAGAGACTCATGTGAGATTTGTCTTTAAACCCCTTAGTAACAGCGGACGTATCCGGTACGTCCGACAAAAAACATCTGTTAATGACCGCGGATGTGCCTGATACGTCCATGGCAAATTTGAGCCCTGGAAGCCAGGGTCGGCCCAAGGCATTGTGCTGCCTGGATCAAAGGATGAAATGCTGCCCCCTCGCCCCCAACCCCAACAAAACCACACCAAGCAAAACACACCCACATCCATTATGTTATGCTATGTGTGTATAGTGAATACAGTGTCTGTGTAGTGGATGCAAAGTGTGTATTTGTGTAGTGGATGCAGTGTGTGCAGTGGCATCAGTGTCTGTGAATTGCATGCAGTGTGTGTAATGATTGCATTATGTGTCTGTATAGTGGATGCAGCGTGTGTGTATTTTGTAATGGATGCAGTGTGTGGATAGTGGATGCAGAGCGTGTGTGTGCATAGTGGATTCAGTGTGTGTGTGTGTATAGTGGATGCAGTGTGTGTGTGTGTGTGTATAGGGGATGCAGTGTGTGTGTGTATAGTGGATGCAGTGTGTGTGCATAGTGGATGCAATGTGTGTGCATAGTGGATGCAATGTGTCTCTGTGTATAGTGGATGCAGTGTGTGTGTGTGTGTGTGTGTATAGTGGATGCAGTGTGTGTGTGTGTGTTTAGTGGATGCAGTGTGTGTGTAAGGGAGGCAGTGTGTGTTTGTGGTGTTGTAGTGTGTTTATGGTGATAAATTAAATGTGGGGGTGAGCAGTGTAAGGGCACCCCCAGGCATAAAAGGGGTTAAAAGCCGTTTAGGAGGTATTCCCCTTCCAGATACACAGGCAGCTACCAAAGACACCAATCCACCGAACCGGAGAAGCATATGAATGCTCTCAAACATGTGAATGCTGTAAGCAGTCGAATAGGAAAAACCATACGAAAGGTTTACACTCCTAGCAGTCGAACTGGAACAGCATACAATAAATCCCTCCAAGAACGAGACAAGGCTCCATGTTGAGGGTCAAAACAGGAACAGACAGAGCTGTGGGTTTATTGTTCTTATATACACATTCTTAGACATTAGTACCACCCACAGGGTTTTGGAAAACAACCAATAAACACGAACAATACACTCAGACACTCCC